AGTAATGATGATCCAGGCACTCAAGTTCAATTTGTGGGCAGATTTATTGGAGCAAAATAGAAACAACGTTTCAGCCCACAACAGTGCCCTTCCCTGACTGCCTGGCTCCTCTTTCCCTGACTGCCTGGCCCCTCCTTCCCTGACTGTCTGGCTCCTCTTTCCCTGACTGTCTGGCTCCTCCTTCCCTGACTGTCTGGCTCCTCTTTCCCTGACTGTCCGGCTCCTCCTACTCTGACTGCCTGGCCCTCCTTCCCTGACTGACTGCCTCCTCCTCCCCTGACTGCCTGGCCCCTCCTTCCCTGACTGCCTTGCCCCTCCTTCCCTGACTGCCTGGCCCCTCCTTCCCTGACTGACTGCCTCCTCCTTCCCTGACTGCCTGGCCCCTCCTTCCCTGACTGCCTGGTTCCTCCTCCCCTGACTGCCCGACTCCTCTTTCCCTGACTGCATGGGACCCCCTTCCCTGACTGCCTGGCCCCTCCTTCCCTGACTGCCTGGCCCCTCCTTCCCTGACTGACTACCTCCTCCTTCCCTGACTGCCTGGCCCCTCTTTCCCTGACTGCCTGGCCCCTCCTCCCCTGACTGCCTGACTCCTCTTTCCCTGACTGCCTGGCCCCTCCTTCCCTGAGTGCCTGGCCACTCCTTCCCTGACTGCCTGGGCCCTCCTTCCCTGACTGCATTGCCCCTCCTTCCCTGACTGCCTGGCTCCTCCTTCCCTGACTGCCTGGCCCCTCCTTCCCTTACTGCCTGGCTCCTCCCTCTCTGACTGCCTGACTCCTCCCTCCCTGACTGCCTGGCTCCTCCTTCCCTGGGTTCAGACATGCAGACAGAGACTGGGGGAAGGAGGGAATGAGCACATGGAGAGTGAGAAGGAGACAGACTGGTCTATCACAAGGAATATAAGGGGGTCTGAGGAGGTAAGGAGCTAGCACAGGCTGGGTCAGAGATTCTGGAAATAAAATGGACTTAGTGAAACAATGTGGGGAGAGAGAATGAAGTTAAATTGGGTCTGTGAACAATAATCATTCATTCATGTGTATTTCTTATTCCCATAGGATAATTTATTTAATGCCCGGTGTTACGGTACCTCCAGTAGTAAATGCACAAACCGTTGTTTAGTGAATGCTCCCCGTTCGCAATAATGTGGTCTGGTAGCGTATGCAGTATAACCATGCGAACCGCCAGCCAGGGAACACTCCAAACTCCCGAACGGTACCTGTACGGCTCCTTCCCTTCACGAGCTCCAAATGTACGAATCGCCAATAGCAGCTGAACGGCAATAGTTTCCAAGCGGCAAATAATCCCAATAAGCAGTCTCTAGTCGCCGGTAATAAAATCCCCCCAATAACGAGACCAAGCTCCGCTTTGGGGGTAAAACACGAACTGAGTTTACTGTGGGCTACCTGCCCGTATTTATGCAGGTCTCCCACTTGGTGGACACTCCCCTAGGGGACCAAATGGGAGACTGGAATAACAGAAGGACAGGGGGACATTTCAGACATACATCCCCACAATATTCCCAGCATGCATCACAGTTTCCTCCCCTCTGCTCGGGAGATAATTGGGAAGTAATTCAATTATCTCCCAGAGCAGAGGCAAATCGCCATTTTAACCCAAAGTTACAAAACACATTAAAATACATAACTTTATAACTGCCGAACGTATTGCATTCGTATAACACATCCCCAGATAGCCTGGATCTGAGTGCATATTATTGGCGAATAGCGCTCAGATCCCATACGCACAGTTCAATCGCCATGGAGTCATAGTCTATTACAGTTCTTCGGTACGCAATTGACTCCATGGGAAGGCTATCTGGGGTAAGTCCATTCGTGCCTTTAAATCTCTCGAACGTCCGGTATTCGTATACTTTTGTCGATTGAGAAGGGGAGGTCGACGGCTTCAGCGGTGTTCGGTTGAAAAAGTGTCCGTTTTTTTAGTTCCATAAAATAATCGTCACACCGCTGGGCTTTCGCATAGTTAAAATGGCCGCCGCCTCGTGGTCAACATACGAACGACGACCACCCTGTATTCAGTTTTAATTGAGAAGTGTCTGTGGTTAACCGCAACGTTCTAATTGGGATCAATAGGTTAACCAGCAGCACACTTCTCTTCTGGGTGGCCGTCTGTTCGGTAGGTCCGTTCGACAAAAAAAATACATTCCCTTAACCAAGGCATACGAATGGGGAAATTCATGCAAACGGCAAAACAGACAAACACAGCAATTTTAGTCCATACGGATGGGTCTGTCACACCCGGTGTTTGAAATAAAAGATAATAGCAGTGATTTAAAGAGCATGACACTAACTACATGTAGAGAATTTATATTTTATAATTATTATAATGTTTTATTCAATTCATGATCTCAGCACAGAATGCAGAGTGTGTGAAATTGTTAAGACACCCCGGGTGTCTTTAAACGAAACCGCGGTTTAGTTCACCTTCCCCTTTCGCAATATCAGTAATCCATTTGCATAAACTGTAATCCACGAACCATAACCAGGGGAAGCGGCAATCTCCCGACCGGGATCCATGAAAGGCTCCAAATTCCCGAACGGAAATCCACGAACTGCTGCTAGCCGCCGAACAAAGATATCCACCAAGCGGCTTTCGGTTCCAATCAGCAGTCTCTAAGCTCAAAGAAGAAATCCCCCCAATAACGAGACAGAAGCTCCGCATTGAGGGTCAAATAGGATCTGGCTTTACTGTGGGCTACCTGCCCGTATTTATGTAGGTCTCCCACTTGGTGGACACTCCCGTAGGGGACCAAATGGGAGACTGGAATTACAGATGGACATGGGGACATTTCAGACATACAATCACAAGCTTTTCCCACTATTATTATTATTATTATTTTATTATTTATATAGCGCCAACAAATTCCGTAGCGCTGTACAATGGGTGGACTAACAGACACATAATTGAGATCAGACCACTGACGTACAGGAACAGAGGGGGTTGAGGGCCCTGCTCGATGAGCTTACATGCTAGAGGGAGTGGGGTATAGTGACACAAAGGGTTAAAGTAGGGGAATTAAATAGTTTGTTACAGAAGGGTTTATTGAGTGCTTGGTAGGTCATTTTTGACAGGTGAAGGAACGGAGTCATGGGGTGGGGGATGAGAAACCTGCTGACAGTTTAATTGATACGCTTTAATGAAGAAGTGAGTTTTCAAAGATTTTTTGAAGGAATGGAGGCTGGGTGAAAGTCTGATTGAGGAGGGAAGGGAGTTCCACAGAATAGGTGCAGCCCTGGAGAAGTCTTGAAGGCGAGCATCAGAGGTGGGGATCCGGGCAGAGGATAGGAGTAGGTCTTGGGCTGAGCGCAGGGGTCTCGACGGGACATACTTGTGTATGAGGGAGGATAGGTATGTTGGAGCAGCATTATGTAGGGATTTGTAAGCAAGCGCCAGAATTTTGAATTGGGCCCTATATCTAACTGGAAGCCAATGCAGGGACTGACAGAGTGCGGAGGCGTGGGAGGTGCGACCGGACAGGAAAATAAGCCTCGCAGCCGTATTCATTATAGATTGCAGCGGTGCAAGCTGGGAACATGTAAGACCGGTGAGAAGGGGATTGCAATAGTCAAGGCGAGAGAGAACAACAGCATGAACCAGCACTTTAGCCGCGTCCGGCGTTAGATATGGGCGGATGCGCGCTATGGTCTTGAGTTGAAAACGACAGGATTTGGCTATCGATTGAACATGGGGAGTAAAAGACAGATTAGAATCAAAAAGAACTCCTAGGCAGCGAGCCTGGGAGGTAGAGGTGATAGTAGCGCCGTTGACTTGGATGGCGACAGACACAGGAGTAGCAGCACTTGAGGGAGGAAAAACAAGAAGTTCTGTTTTGGACAGGTTGAGTTTAAGGAAGTGAGCAGCCATCCAGTTGGAAATAGCAGAGAGGCAGTCAGAAACACGAGTCAAGGTGGGCGGAGAGAGATCAGGGGAGGACAGGTAGATTTGCGTGTCATCTGCATATAAATGGTATTGGACGCCAAAAGAGCTGATGAGTTTACCAAGGGAGGCAGTATAGATAGAGAACAGTAGGGGGCCGAGGACAGAACCTTGGGGGACGCCGACAGGGAGGGGTTGGGGAGAAGAGGCAGAGCCAGAGAAAGAAACACTGAAGGAGCGCTGGGAGAGGTAGGAGGAGCACCAGGAGAGAGCAGAATCCCGTAGACCAAAGTTACGGAGAATGTGAAGAAGCTGTTGATGATCAACAGTGTCAAAGGCGGCAGAAAGATCAAGGAGGATTAGGATAGAGTATTGGCCGCGAGATTTAGCAGCAATTAAATCGTTGGATACTTTGGTCACAGCAGTTTCGACAGAGTGACCAGCGCGGAATCCAGACTGAAGGGGGTCAAGCAGAGAGTTGGATTCAAGAAAGTCTGTCAATCTGGCGTAGACAACTCTCTCGAGGATCTTGGAGGCAAATGGCAGTAGCGAGATAGGGCGGTAGTTGGATGGGGAGTTGGGATCGAGGTTGGGCTTTTTCAGAATTGGGGTTACGGTTGCATGTTTGAAGGCAGAGGGAAATGTGCCAGAGGAAAGGGAGAGATTGAAAATGTTAGCGAGAGGAAGAGCAAGAGAGGGAGACAAAGTGCGGATGAGATGCGAGGGAATAGGATCGAGGAGCAGGTGGTGGGGCGGGAGGACAGGAGCAGAGCAGAAACCTCTTGTGCTGTAGCAGGTGCAAATGAGCTTAGGATGACAGGGGGAGTGGGGTTGGGTGATGTATTGATACTGGTTGGAGAAAGATTAGAGATCTCTTTCCTGATTGTAGAGATCTTCTCAGTGAAATGAGATGCAAAGTTTGTGGCGGACAAGGTGGTGGAAGGAGGGGGAGTCACAGGGCGAAGAAATGCATCAAAAGTGTGAAACAGGTGTTTGGGTTGGTGGGACAGCGTGCTTATGAGGGTGTTGAAGTAGCTTACTTTTGCAGAGGATAGAGCCATGCTGTAGGAGCGCAGCATAAATTTGTAGTGGACAAAGTCAGATGCAAAGTGAGACTTTCTCCAGCAGTGTTCAGCAGTTCTGGAACATTTTTGGAAGTAACGGGTCAGCTTGGTGTGCCAGGGTTGTAGTTGGGGGGCGCTTGCTGCGTTTAACTGTAGGAGGTGCCATGATGTCAAGTTGAGAGGAGAGAGTGGAGTTGTAGAGTGAGGTTGCAGAGTTAGGGCAGTTGTGATTTGAGATGGGTAAAAGGAGTGTTTGGAGTTTAGTGGAGAAGTGCTGGAGATCGAGAGAGTTGAGGTTTCTGCGAGGTTGGAGAGTGGACGGTGGTGAGATTTTGGTATGGGGTATGCAGATGTTAAATGTTAGCAGATGGTGGTCAGACAAAGGAAATGGAGCAGTGGCGAGATCAGAGGTGGTACAGAGATTGGTGAAGATGAGGTCAAGAGTGTTTCCTGCAGTGTGAGTTGCTGAGGAAGAAATCTGTGTGAGTCCAAAGGAGGAGGTTACAGAGAGCAGACGAGAGGCATCAGGGCAATTGAGCTTGTTGATAGGGATATTGAAGTCCCCAAGTATGAGAGAGGGAGTGCTAGAGGAAAGAAAGTGGGGTAACCAGGAGGAAAAGTGTTCAATGAATAGTTTAGGGTGACCGGGGGGGCGATAGATGATGGCAATTCTTAAAGGAGTGGGCTTAAAAAGGCGTACAGTGTGAACTTCAAAGGAAGTAAAGGATAGGGCAGGGGCAGGGAGGATAGGTTGAAAGGTACATTGAGGGGAGAGAAGGATGCCTACACCACCTCCTTTACAGTCGAGTCTAGGAGTATGGGAGAACTGTAGACCACCGAAACATAAAGAAGCAGGAGTAGCGGTATCGGATGGAGATAGCCAGGTCTCAGTGAGTGCCAGTATTGTGAGAGAGTTAGAGATGAGGAGGTCATGTATAGCTGTAGATTTGATATTACTACAAATGGAGCGAGCATTCCTGAGTGCACACTGAATTTTGGTAGAGGAGGATAGACTGCAGGGTATTTGGAGGAGGTTTGCATGGTTTCTGGTTATTTTAGTGTGAGCAGATGAGGTGAGGGGCCCTGGGTTGGGAGAGACGTCACCAGCTGCCAGAAGTAGGAGGAGAGATAGAGACAGGAGGTGTGAGTGGGTTTTATATGGGCGGCGACTAGGGTGAGATTGGGTTAGAGCAGGAGAGAGAGAATAGAGAAATGAGTGAGATGAGAGAAGGGTGGAGTGTAGCAGAGAGGGATTAATGTAAATGTTAGTGTTTTGTTGCAATATGGTTTCCTCCCCTCTGCCCTGGAGATAATTGAGAAGTAATTCAATTACCTCCAGGACAAAGACAAATCGCCATCTTAAATGTAATACCACAAAATACATAAAAATATATAACTTCCCTGACTGCCTGGCCCTCTCCACCCCCTGTCGATGTCAGATCCGAACGCGCACATTCAAACCGCCCATAGGAAAGCATTTGATTTTCACAGTGAGAATCGCGGAAGCGCCTCTAGCGGCTGTCAATGAGACAGCCACTAGAGGCTGGATTAACCCTCAGTGAAACATAGCAGTTTCTGTGAAGTGGTCTGGGTGACTATAGGGTCCCTTTAACGTTTTGAATGTGACGGCTGAATAGCAAACTTTGTCCAGTCACCAATTAACCCTCGTTCCACCAAGGCTGTCTTTGTTTATTTGTGTTTTTAACTATTTGCGCCAAAAGATGATTGAAAAACAGATGATGGGAGAATTTATTTTCCCGACCAGCAGGTGGGTCCATGAGGAGCGAGGCCGGGTCCATGAGTAGCGAGGCCGGGTCCATGAGTAGCGAGGCCGGGTCCATGAGTAGGGAAGCCGGGTCCATGAGTAGCGAGGCCGGTTCCATGAGTAGCGAGGCCGGGTCCATGAGTAGTGAGGCCGGTTCCATGAGTAGGGAAGCCGGGTCCTTGAGTAGCGAGGCCGGTTCCATGAGTAGCGAGGCCGGGTCCATGAGTAGCAAGGCCGGGTCCATAAGTGGTGTTTACCGCCCCATCATCTCCAAACATTACAAACCACCAGCACTACTGAGGATAGGAGGAGCGCTGTGTTCTAATTTCATCATGTTACTTACACACCCTTATTATACACTTACTCGAACCGAGACCTTAATTCAGACTTTAGAAAGGGGAATGACTGTGTCCAGACCTCTGCAGTCTGTTAAATATAATAGATGAATATTATAAATACCATTTCATGATTAGGATTAATAACTGGATTTTTATTGGCAATACACGGTAATGATACATAAATATAGATGCGAGTAGCAACTGGGGCCAAACATAACCGCCTTATTATAGCACAAGCATGGACATTGTAATAAGGGATCTGAATCACAAAGATATGGTTTATTGGATTTATTTAAAAAATATATTTTTTTTATCATAAATATAAAATAATCTGTGTAATTGGTCACCTAATCCAATGAGTGGCAGACAGAGGAGAAACTGGGGGGAAGACATGAGAAAGAGGGAATAAACACTTACGAGGACTCGGCAATTGCCCCGGACAGTATAATCCCGCCCTGCAAACATGTCGTATTATCCTTGAAAGCAGTGGAGTTATATTGAGATTTCTAAGTGTCTCTGTAGATCATTTCTTTATGAAAAACTGGAACACGTTATGGAAGAACTTGGAAGGAAGCGTTAAATAAAATGTTACCGGCTGCCATGTTCTACACTGGGTTAATATAATTTATACACGGAGAGTTCTCTGTCTTGGGTCAATCTTCATAACATTATTGCACTGCGTCACCCTGACCCCCTAAGCTGAGGTTCGGGTTTAAGGTCGTTGTTGGGACATTAAATATTATATTAGTTAATAATTCCCCATTTCTCGGTTTTTGCACACTGGTTAAAATATAATACGAAAGACACCGTTTTCTTTTTCTTTATTTTATAATAAGGTTTGTACAAAGAGCAGGCAATTTAATGAACCCCCTGCGGAGGTGGTGGGAGGTAAAGAGGGCGTGAATTCGGGTCCCCGCTGTTCCTGGAATACAGATATGCCTTTTAAGCCCTGCGCTAAAAGGACACGATTCGCAGATAGGCAAAGCGTTGACTATACAAAGCACTGCATGTATGGGAGAACCTGTGAGGTCCAGAAGGAGCCAGACACTGTATGTCAGGGGAGCACTTTTCATGTGATGTCCAGCAGGCAGACTGTGATGAATGGACACAAACTACCCTCCATATCTTTAAGGTACTTAATCTGTTCCTTTAAAAATGAAAAGCAGATAAAACATGTATAAATGTTTTGTTTTTGCAATTTGTATTTTTTTTTTTTTTTATTATTTGAAGAGGAATTACATGCAAAACAAACATTAGCAATACATTTTACACACGGTTAATTAGCTCTCGGATACGATAGGCTTTCAGGTCAGCGTAATATAAAACCTCTCCTATAGCTGGGTCACATGCCGCCCATGGGGGGTGTGGGCTCCAATAAAAGTAGCTTGTCTAGAAAAGTTATTGAAATATAAGAAAAAACTAGGTATGTATTTAGAAACTGTTTAAATAGTTCAGTAACAGAAATGGACTTGTTTGCGATGGAATCGAAGACAGAACTTATATCACCCGAGTCCAGCCAAGTCAGGTAACGGCTGGAGATATCCTCAGGGTGGGTGCTGGTTGTTTGCCAGCCGGATAAAATGGCTAAATGTTGTTTGCATCCCATCCTGGCTTGTCAGGTCACTCAGTTGTTTGCTTCCCAAACCGTCTACATCTTCCTCTACCGGTTGCATGCAGCCTGTCAATGTCGCCATATCCTGTCTCACCACTGAGATGTCAGCAGAAAAAAGAGCCATTATATTGGACCGCAGAGCTTTTGTATTATTATTATGTTATTATTTATATCTGCGTAGCTTGCTGGTTGGTCATCATTTTCCGTCTGAATGCTTGTTCCGGCAGTCACCGAATCTGGCTGTCTCACTGGCACCATCTTATCATAGCAGGGCCTCGGTATCTCTCGAGACTTAACCTCGATGTGCTTGGGGTAGGGTAAGAAGATTGCTGTCACACCTCCAGACTGAACCGCTGCGGGTTGAAAGTGCTGCTCCAGATTGTCCACCATGCTGACCTCAGAGGAGGCTGGAAAAAACTCCCTAGTTGGGCACGATTCCTCGGAGGTTGGAGGAGCAGATCCCAGATATTGGGGGATTTGGTGAAGGCCTTTAGCCGTATCTGGGCATCTTCTCGTAGACGCCCCAAAGATGGAAGAGAAAATGTGTCGCTTGTATCTCTGCTTAGCGCCAGTTTAGTACTCCACGGAGAAAGCTTGGCGTGACGATTGGTTTTATCATAACCTTAACTGGTTACATTATCAATTTAAATCATTGCACTGACTGCCAGAAGGTGCTTTATCCTGACCAATGTCCTGAGTAGTGATGTCCCGAACAGTTCGCCGAACGGTTCGCCTCGGATGGCGAACATAAACATAAACTTTGACCCTGTACCTCACAGTCAGCAGACACATTCCAGCCAATCAGCAGCAGACCCTCCCACCTCCTGGACAGCATCCATTTTACATTCATTGTGAAGCTGCATTCTTAGTGAGCTGTCCAGAAGGTGGGAGGGTCTGGGAGGGAGGGTCTGCTGCTGATTGGCTGGAATGTGTCTGCTGACTGTGAGGTACAGGGTCAAAGTTTACTCAATGATGACGAATAGGGGGCGGACCAAACAGCGCATATGTTCGCCGTCCGCGGCGAACCGTTCGGGACATCACTAGTCCTGAGCAATGTCCAGAGCTCCACGGCAATAATACTTCCAGTAATGTGTCTGTGTATAACAGAGCTTCACAGCAATAATACTCCCAGTAATGTGTCTGAGTGTATAACCGAGCCCCACAGCAATAATACTCCCAGTAATGTGTCTCCACAGCAATAATACTCCCAGTAATGTGTCTCCACAGCAATAATACTCCCAGTAATGTGTCTGAGTGTATAACAGAGCTCCACAGCAATAATACTCCCAGTAATGTGTCTGACTGTATAACAGAGCTCCACAGCAATAATACTCCCAGTAATGTGTGTGAGTGTATAACAGAGCTCCACAGCAATAATACTCCCAGTTATGTGTCTGAGTGTATAACAGAGCTCCACAGCAATAATACTCCCAGTAATGTGTCTGAGTGTATAACAGAGCTCCACAGCAATATACTCCCAGTAATGTGTCTGAGTGTATAACAGAGCTCCTCAGTAATAATACTCCCAGTAATGTGTCTGAGTGTATAACAGAGCTCCACAGCAATAATACTCCCAGTAATGTGTCTGAGTGTATAACAGAGCTCCACAGCAATAATACTCCCAGTAATGTGTCTGAGTGTATAACAGAGCTCCACAGCAATAATACTCCAGTAATGTGTCTGAGTGTATAACAGAGCTCCACAGCAATAATACTCCCAGTAATGTGTCTGAGTGTATAACAGAGCTCCACAGCAATAATACTCCCAATAATGTGTCTGAGTGTATAACAGAGCTCCACAGCAATAATACTCCCAGTAATGTGTCTGAGTGTATAACAGAGCTCCACAGCAATAATACTCCCAGTAATGTGTCTGAGTGTATAACAGAACTCCACAGCAATAATACTCCCAGTAATGTGTCTGTGTATAACAAAGCTCCACAGCAATAATACTCCCAGTAATGTGTCTGAGTGTATAACAGAGCTCCACAGCAATAATACTCCCAGTAATGTGTCTGAGTATATAAAAGAGCTCCACAGCAATAATACTCCCAATAATGTGTCTGAGTATATAACAGAGCTCCACAGCAATAATACTCCCAGTAATGTGTCTGAGTGTATAACAGAGCTCCACACCAATAATACTCCCAGTAATGTGTCTGAGTGTATAACAGAGCTCCACAGCAATAATACTCCCAGTAATGTGTCTGAGTGTATAACAGAGCTCCAAAGCAATAATACTCCCAGTAATGTGTCTGAGTGTATAACAGAGCTCCACAGCAATAATACTCCCAGTAATGTGTCTGAGTGTATAACAGAGCTCCACAGCAATAATACTCCCAGTAATGTGTCTGAGTGTATAACAGAGCTCCACAGCAATAATACTCCCAGTAATGTGTCTGAGTGTATAACAGAGCTCCACAGCAATAATACTCCCAGTAATGTGTCTGAGTGTATAACAGAGCTCCACAGTAATAATACTTCCAGTAATGTGTCTGAGTGTATAACAGAGCTCCGCATCCATAATACTCCCAGTAATGTGTCTGAGTGTATAACAGAGCTCCACATCCATAATACTCCCAGTAATGTGTCTGAGTGTATAACAGAGCTCCACAGCAATAATACTCCCAGTAATGTGTCTGAGTGTATAACAGAGCTCCACAGCAATAATACTCCCAGTAATGTGTCTGAGTGTATAACAGAGCCCCACAGCAATAATACTCCCAGTAATGTGTCTGAGTGTATAACAGAGCCCCACAGCAGTAATACTCCCAGTAATATGTCTGAGTGTATAACAGAGCTCCACAGCAATAATACTCCCAGTAATGTGTCTGAGTGTATAACAGAGCTCCACAGCAATAATACTCCCAGTAATGTGTCTGACTGTATAACAGAGTCCCACAGCAATAATACTCCCAGTAATGTGTCTGAGTGTATAACAGAGCTCACAGCAATAATACTCCCAGTAATGTGTCTGAGTGTATAACAGAGCTCCCCAGCAATAATACTCCCAGTAATGTGTCTGAGTGTATAACAGAGCTCACAGCAATAATACTCCCAGTAATGTGTCTGAGTGTATAACAGAGCTCCACAGCTATAATACTCCCAGTAATGTGTCTGAGTGTATAACAGAGCTCCACAGCAATAATACTCCCAGTAATGTGTCTGAGTGTATAACAGAGCTCCACAGCAATAATACTCCCAGTAATGTATATGAGTGTATAACAGAGCCCCACAGCAATAATACTCCCAGTAATGTGTCTGAGTGTATAACAGAGCCCCACAGCAATAATACTCCCAGTAATGTGTCTGAGTGTATAACAGAGCCCCACAGCTATAATACTCCCAGTAATGTGTCTGAGTGTATAACAGAGCCCCACAGCAATAATACTCCCAGTAATGTGTCTGAGTGTATAACAGAGCTCCACAGCAATAATACCCCAGTAATGTGTCTGAGTGTATAACAGAGCTCCACAGCAATAATACTCCCAGTAATGTGTCTGAGTGTATAACAGAGCTCCACAGCAATAATACTCCCAGTAATGTGTCTGAGTGTATAACAGAGCTCCACAGCAATAATACTCCCAGTAATGTGTCTGAGTGTATAACAGAGCCCACAGCAATAATACTCCTAGTAATGTGTCTGAGTGTATAACAGAGCTCCACAGCAATAATACTCCCAGTAATGTGTCTGAGTGTATAACAGAGCTCCACAGCAATAATACTCCCAGTAATGTATCTGAGTGTATAACAGAGCCCCACAGCAATAATACTCCTAGTAATGTGTCTGAGTGTATAATGGAGCTCCACAGCAATAATACTCCCAGTAATGTGTCTGAGTGTATAACAGAGCTCCACAGCTATAATACTCCCAGTAATGTATCTGAGTGTATAACAGAGCTCCACAGCAATAATACTCCCAGTAATGTATCTGAGTGTATAACAGAGCCCCACAGCAATAATACTCCCAGTAATGTGTCTGAGTGTATAACAGAGCCCCACAGCAATAATACTCCCAGTAATGTGTCTGAGTGTATAACAGAGCCCCACAGTAATAATACTCCCAGTAATGTGTCTCAGTGTATAACAGAGCTCCACAGCAATAATACTCCCAGCAATGTGTCTGAGTGTATAACAGAGCTCCACAGCAATAATACTCCCAGTAATGTGTCTGAGTGTATAACAGAGTTTCACAGCAATAATACTCCCAGTAATGTGTCTGAGTGTATAACAGAGCTCCACAGCAATAATACTCCCAGTAATATGTCTGAGTGTATAACAGAGCTCCACAGCAATAATACTCCAAGTAATGTATCTGAGTGTATAACAGAGCCCCACAGCAATAATACTCCCAGTAATGTGTCTGAGTGTATAACGGAGCTCCACAGCAATAATACTCCCAGTAATGTGTCTGAGTGTATAACAGAGCTCCACAGCTATAATACTCCCAGTAATGTGTTTGAGTGTATAACAGAGCCCCACAGCAATAATACTCCCAGTAATGTGTCTGAGTGTATAACAGAGCCCCACAGCAATAATACTCCCAGTAATGTGTCTGAGTGTATAACAGAGCTCCACAGCAATAATACTCCCAGTAATGTGTCTGAGTGTATAACAGAGCTCCACAGCAATAATACTCCCAGTAATGTATCTGAGTGTATAACAGAGCTCCACAGCAATAATACTCCCAGTAATGTGTCTGAGTGTATAACAGAGCTCCACAGCAATAATACTCCCAGTAATGTGTCTGAGTGTATAACAGAGCTCCACAGCTATAATACTCCCAGTAATGTGTCTGAGTGTATAACAGAGCTCCACAGCAATAATACTCCCAGTAATGTGTCTGAGTGTATAACAGAGCTCCACAGCTATAATACTCCCAGTAATGTGTCTGAGTGTATAACAGAGCTCCACAGCAATAATACTCCCAGTAATGTGTCTGAGTGTATAACAGAGCTCCACAGCAATAATACTCCCAGTAATGTGTCTGAGTGTATAACAGAGCTCCACAGCAATAATACTCCCAGTAATGTGTCTGAGTGTATAACAGAGCCCCACAGCAATAATACTCCCAGTAATGTGTCTGAGTGTATAACAGAGCTTCACAGCAATAACACTCCCAGTAATGTGTCTGAGTGTATAACAGAGCCCCACAGTAATAATACTCACAGTAATGTGTCTGTGTATAACAGAGCTCCACAGCAATAATACTGAAGTAATGTCTTTAAACTACAATAAATGAGTTTAGAAATCAGTCTGTGTAAATAAGATATGTTGTTATTCTAAATTTCATTTTAGTTCTATAAATTGTTATTAGTAATTCATGGAGTCACGTAACGTTTCTTGGATGGCCCCGCCCCCGTCACACCCCCAGTCATACATCATAGAAAA